CTGCTGAGCAAGATTGTGCTGCAGGTGTGAGATTCTGTACTGTTTAAAACCACCCAACAGAATAGTATTTTCTTGGTCCTTCTGATCCTATTTCCATGTAAAGCTGTTACCTGGATGGTATGTTAGTTAATAGCAGTGAAGCATCATTAAAGCTCTGGGCATGATATTCTGGAAGAAATTAACATGCTTTTGTTCTACAACAGCAAAAAGACGTTTTATTTTTAAAGGAAATGGAATACTTAAAGGCTGAAAGTTGACAGTTATCTGTTGAGAGGGAGGAGGAAAAGAGATTTATCTCCCAGTAGCTTTTGGGAAGCAGAGCAAGTAAGGTCTTTGCTGTTGGAAGATGGTGCAAAACTTCACCAACAGTCCCCGGTGGGAGCCAAAAGCTGCAGCCGGGCACAACCCACCTCGCCGCAAACCTGGGCAGGAGGTTTGTGAAGGGGCTGAGCAGAAGGCTCCTGCCTTTAATACGACTTTTCCGTTCATCCAAAAAAGAAAGCCCTGAAATAATTAATGTGATTCTGATGGCTCAGGGCAGCGCTGATAAAAGTCACGTGAGGCCAGGGCTCTACCATTGTCAGCTCACATTAGTGTTGAGAGGCAGGAGCGCGGGCCGCGCTGCCTCCCGGAGCCCAGGCACGTCAGACCTCGCACGCTCGCCGCTGTCATTATTTCAACCCTCCGTTAAACAGAAGCCAGTGTGTAGAACACAGACGTGCCTGGCATGTTTCTTCTCTCTGCCTGGGTTTTATTTTTTTTCTCCCAGTCAGAGCAGGAGTGGCCCCACTCCATCCAAACTCTTCACTTCTGTCATTAAACCGGCTCCAGTCGAGGAGTCTCGGTCTCTTCCGCGCGCGGAGGTCCCCGGGTGGAGGCTCCTGCTTTGCCACACGTACAGTCGGCATCAGGTACAGCAGGATCCTCCCGTGCCAGGAGCCTCTCTGGTCAGCAGCAATGCACCGTGAAGATCTGAGCAGCATCTAAATCCATGCCAGTATAATCCTGCCACTGTGAACAAAGGGGCTGCTTGCAAACAGGTGTAGCCCTGCAACAGCAGATTCCTCCCTGCTCTTTGGTTTGAGGAGGTGGTCAGCCTTGGGAAAGCAGCTCCATTCCCTCATGTGCCTCTCCCAAACCCCTTTCACTTTGCCTTAGGGTCCCTCCAGTAATTGTTACTACAGCCCTAGGCAGTGCTGTTTACTCTGAAGTGTAGGATTCAGAAGAAGCAGAGCCTGCTGTTCCCCCTGCCTCCACACCGGCATCACTTCCATCAGCAATTAGTAGGGGTGTTTTACTCTGCCGCATTGTGTGGCAGCTTTAATGAGCGAAGGCTCCTCAGAGGGGCAGAGCAGGCACATCCTTCGTTCCCAGGCATGGGTGATGTGCGTGGACTGAGCACTGAAACCTGGAGCAAAGTACCTAGAGGCACCCCCATGCACAGGAGGAAACTGTCTTTGGATTGTCTGGGATGGATTTACACCAACACAAGAGCTTGTGTGAAATAAAAGCAGCGGTGTTGCTGAACACCTTTCTTCCTCAGGTTAGTTGCAGGGCTTCTGCTCACCTGCAGGGTGGGGGGAACCTGGCCCTCTTGTCCATGAAGATTCCCACTTGCTCTTGTCCTGGAAGAGGAGAGCCAGGCCTGCCCCACTGGCACATTCCCCAGCTGAAATGCCATCTCTGCACCCTGCCTGGCATTTCCCAGGGCTGATTTGCTGCACTTGCAGGTGCTGGGTGAATGTGGGTGCTGCCAGCTGAGTGGTGTGCCTGGGGCATGTCCCCAGCCCTGTGTTACCAATTCCCCTGCTCCTTTGGCCACACACAGGGAGAATATTTTCCAGCATTCCCTGATTAATAAATTCTCTGCAGTTAGAGGACAGCATACACCCAGGTTGGGAGCAGTTGGCACAGCCTTAACTTATGCTCATTCTTTGTTCCTTCTGCATCGGTGAAGACACGAGCTCAGGTCTCCATCCTCTTCCGCTTCACTCAGCGCAGTGACAAGCCCTCTCTTGTTACTTCCTAACCTTTCCCAAAGCCCAGACATGCTCCCAACATACTGCCAATGGCTGTTTCTTTCTCAGATAAACCCTATTTTTAGCTATCCACCAATCCCATATTCCCAAAAGGCCAACTTCACCCTGCTGGATACCTCCCAGCAGGGAGGAGGTGTTTTAGCCTCCTGGAGAGGTTTGTTAGCAATGGAACTGTGATAGTTTGGGAATATTTTTCTGCCTCGACCTTAGTTTTCCTGAGCTGTGTTTTCAGCCTGTGTGCATCTTCTGATGGGCTTTGCTCTTTTGCTCCGTTTTGAAGGAGAGTTTTTCAACCTTTGTGAAAGAGCCACATCAGTAAAATAAAGTTTCCAGCCATACATGGGACTGGGCACTCCCAAGTTCTTTCACCTTCACCCCCCAGCAAGGACACACTCACAGCAACTCTCTGTGCTGCTTGTTTGTTTTTAGTTTCCCATTGATTCTTTTTTAGATGAAAATGGAGAATATTTTTGTATCAGCTGTCTGGGGATATACATTTTCAGCATACAAGTTCTCTAGTGTAGCAATTTCCTGTGCAATTATCCTGGTATAACATGGATGAAAACTAACTTCTTTTTTTTTTTTCCTTTTTCTTTTTTCCTTCCTTCTTGCTTGCCTCAATATGCTCCACAAGGGGGCAAAGATTCCCATTTCCAGCTTGCTTTGCTGTTACTGCCGGGACCAGCTTCTCCAAAATGCTCTAGAGCACAAAATCTGCAGCTAGATGATCAGAAGATGGGATCACTGCAGGGGGAAGGAAGTGCTAAGCTCTTCCAAAAATCTTGTCTTGTCTTTTGGGTAGAAATAATACATTATCAGCATAGCTGAACTGGGGCCAAAAATGCAAATTCTATGTACAGCCTGTCCCTGACAAGAGACTTGCCACCTATTTCAGCTGAAATGGGCAGCACCTGGGGCTCTGCTGATGTCCCGTTTCTCTCAGGAGGAGAAATTGGTTCCTCAGCAGGAGCGTTTGTACAACACCTCCCTATTTTTCCCTCCCAACACCTTGAAATGCAGTGGGAGGAAACCACAGCAACTCTTCCTTCTTGCAGTTTTTGGCCTGCAGAATCCCGTGCCAAAAAGCTGTGCTGTCCATCCATACCACAGGACCTGCTCCCTGCCACCATCACCTCTTCTGCTCTGGATTCCTTTCTGCCTGACACAGACACAGTTGCTGCTAATAATTAGTGTCCCATTGCTGCCTGCAGCCACCTCTCAGCCGGGCCATGGGCCTTGGCAGTTTTAGCAGTCATTCTACAAACTAACATGGAATTACTCTTTTCATTTAGCATGAATGACAAACTGGTCGCTGCTTCATGGGTATTTGTAGCATTTTCCAGGCACCAGGAGACTTTTTAAAGCAGTTTTCCTCCTGTTTCCTTTTGAAAGACAACAGCTTCAAGCTCGCTGGCTCCCATCATCTTTGCTGTTTTCTCCTCTCCCTGCAGTCAGGGGGTGATGTGGTGCTCACTGTGGGCTCACTCAGGGAGAAGCTTCTTCTCAAGTTGGCAAATGCAGAGCCTTTGGCTGAAAATGGGATTGCACAGTGGGGAGAAGGAATCCTGGAAGGCTGATGTCTGCCCAGCCCCTGACCACTGCTGCCCCCTGTTCTGCAGCAGTTGCCCCCACAACTGCACCTGGAAATCTGAGCCAGGCTGATGTTCTGTCAACCTCAGGCAGTGGGAAAAGGGCAGCTAGAAAACACTTTCTTCCCAATGTTATATTTTCTTCACCTTAGGTTTTTCAGCATGAGCACCAAACAGTTGCAGCAAAGGTACAGGGAAGCTGGCACAGGCCACCCATGTCAGTCCTGGGAGCTTGGGTAGGGCATTAGAAGATCCAGCCTTCCACAAACTTATTTTGGCATGGCTGTAAATACAGCTTGGTTTTCCCATCACCTCTATTTAATGGCATTGTCTCCCTAAATGGGCTCGAGGTAGCATAATCATTATTGCTAGGGTTTTTTTGTCAAGAGTCTTTCTGGCAAGCTGTTTATGCTTATTACCATCTCTGCAGAAGACCATAAGCAAAAGGAGGGATCCTTTTGCTGACTTGGGCAGATCAGTGCCCCGTGCTCTTGTAGCTACTGTCAGAAGTCAGTTCTGCTGATCTACTTTACTTTGCACTGACAAACATGATGAACACCTCAGGTGAGGTCTGAACTGCCTGCACTGCAGTGATCTGTCACCAAACAGCCCCATGCCCACCTGGGCCTCATTGAGCTGTTTTCCTGCCCATGTGTGAGCTGAGTGAGCTGGACTGTCAAATCCAGACCCAGGAGCATTGGTCCCAAAGCTAGGAATGAGGCAGGAGATAGAGAAAGCCATCTTTTCTTTGGCATGTCATCAACTCATCTCTCTTGGACAAGCTCCACCTTTGCACTAAGGTGCAACCTTCACCTGGGCAGTCCCCACTGCAGGAGCACAGGAGTGAGCAGGGCTGTCAGACCCCAGCAAGTTCTGCTGCTGCTGATGTGCTGAAGTTGCTCAGCATGTGGCAAGACGTTTGGCCTCAAACCTTTTTGGCCTCATCTGATCACGTGAAAGTTGATTAATGTTGTCTTGAATTAATTTAATTGCATATATTTATTATTTCCAGGGTTGTCTGTTCCCTCTTCAACTCCTAAAGAGAGATGTTTCAGGCTTTTTGCAGGATTTATGGTTTGCATTAACAACTGTCCCTCTGAAGAAGTTTTTTGGTTTTTTTTTCCTTCCAAAATGTCTGTGTATTTGCAATTACAACTCAAGTTTAATTAGAGGTGGTTTTACTTGAGATACCCGGACACTTCCATTTGCAACCCAAATATGAAACAGAATTTGTAGTTTGTTCAATATTTAGATCTTTCATATCATGAAGTGAGAGCTCTTTTTAATGTTCAAACTTTTTAAATCAGAAAGTTTTTGGAGAGTTCTGAACAATTCCTTAAAGGCTGAATGAAGCTTCACATTTTAGTCCCTTTACTCCAACTTCTGTAAACCAGCTCTTTCCAGTGAGATTGCCCTCAAGTTTCACAGGATGCTTGTAGTTATTTTAGTTTGGCCAAATAAACAGAACAATCCAGATGGCTGGACAGAGAGTCATAAAGTGTTTTTTTCTTTTCTTTATTTTTCAAGTTACAAAGGAGTGATTATCCACAGCATAGATGTTTTAAAATGGCTTAATTTAAAATCTGAAGGGCTGCATGTGAATTAGCTTCTTTTACCACTTAAAAAGCTAAAAATGTTTGAAATAGTTTCAGATATTTGTATTTGAGAGTCTGCAGATGAGTAATCACAGCAGGTACACTTTCTTCAGAATTGCTTTAAAGGACAAAGGCAATTTCACATTCTAGTCAATCAAGGTATCATTTAAAAAAATGCTGGTGGTGGATCAACAACTGGAATGTAAGGCTGTGAGGTCAAAGTCATTTAGACTCTGGGAGCTGTTTTTTTCCCTCAGTGTAAACCTAAAAATACATGCAACTTAAAAACAAAAACAAACCCCAGAAAACATTATTATTTAGACTCAAAAAGAGGCTGCTTTTCTCTGGTGACTTCCTTCTCTGTGACTAATTCAGCCCTGCTATGATGCATTGTTGGCTGCCTGCAGTTTTGTGGCAGCCAGAATAAAGGAAGGGGTACCCAGATCTGCGGCCACCTCAGCCCTCCATGCTGATCTCCTTTTTGTTTGCCACTGGTTTTTCTCCCATCCCCTGCTGCTTCGTTTTCTATGGAGAAGTCCCTGAAAGCAGAGCCTCCCATTGCAATGTTTTCGGGTCCCCCATGCCAGCAGGAGGCTTAATGTGTTCATCTGAGGCTTTTTGGTCTGAGTGGCTGACCCTTTTTACCCAGAAAGTTGTGGATGTTGTAAAAACAACCTGTAGGATGCTCTTTCCAGGCACCCTCCGTGTCACAGCAGCCCCAGGAACGTGCCAGCTCCCTGTGCTAGAGCAGGTGGGAGATTGAACTCGACCTTGATGCCAACCAAGGTCATCTGAAAAGAGCATTAAAAAGCATTTGCTGTACAGTTTGGGGAGCTCTCGTTGAGGGAGGATTTTGCTGCATGTTGAGTAGCACAAATCCTAGCAATGCAAATGTGACTTATGCTTCATCTGAGCACACTGTTGTGAATTTGAGGTAAGAATTATGTACCCTGCTTAGCTAAATATTGAGCAGACAGAGCTCGTCATGTTACTGCTTTTTAATAAGCCTTGAATTGAGGTGGATGTATTTTTTTCCTGTTTTAATATGCTCCGTTAAAACAAGGAAATCAAACTGCAAATAGACATTTTCACATTTGCGAAGGTCTGTTGTAATCCTGTGAGTGCTCTGGGAAGCAGAGACATGAAAGTGGTGCTCTGTTGTCCACCCACTTGTGATCTGGTGGTTGCAAGAGCTGCGGAGAAAAAGTGAGGGCTGCACTTGCATCTGGTTTAGAGGGACAGTTGGAGTTTTCACAGTGGCAACTGGTAGTTTTTCCTTTTTCTTGCAGGCTCAAGTTAGACCCTAATGTTACCTGAGTAGAAAGTTGTTGAGTTTTTCTGCCTTCATGCAGGAAGAAATGAGTGCACTGACACTAGTAACCCATAAAGAGGTTTAGTTTTGTTTTATATGAGAGATGGGGAACTGCCTCTTTTTATTTGAATGATAAATGACTTTGTTTTGCATATCTCTTTCTGTCAGTCTGCCAATCAAAATCTGCCCTTGGGGAATTTAAGCATAGCCAGGATTAACTGGTGGCAGCAACCCTCTGATTTATGTATTGACTTGTGTGCATGCAGAAACCCTGATCAAAAAAGAGAGGAAAAATTGATGGAAAACACCCACTCAAAGCCCAATAACCGTCTGTTCCCTCTCTTTCCACTCGCTGCCTTCCTTACAGCAACCACTTGAAAGGAAAGACAGCCAAAACAGCTCCCAGCACAGCGTCTCCAGCCACCGCAGCGGGCACACGGCGTCCCCCGCGCACAGCGCGCAGCTCCTGCCGGAATACACGGCCGCGGAGCCGCCGGCTGCCGATCAACCCGACGCTGCTGGGCAGAAAAAGCCAGATCCATTCAAAATCTGGGCCCAGTCCAGGAGCATGTATGAAAGCCGACGTGAGTATGAAGCAGGTGTGGTTGCTAAGGCTACGGCTCTGGCAGCTGCTCTCCGGACGTTTTCTTTGCGATGAATCGAGTCGGTTGGATTGATGTTGGAAGTGTGAGGCTTTGGCTTCTTCATTTGCTGTCTATGGTGTCTGCTTGATAGAGGTGCAGTTTCCTCTCTGCTGGGGAATGAATTTAGATCATCTCTAGAGACAGGTCAAAGCTTAATAAGAAAAATGCCTTTAAAATTAAAGGCCATCTTCTCTGCTATTTTTTTTTTTTAATTTATTTTGCTTGTAAATTAAGCTGAAGGAGAATTTACAACTTTGTTATTTGGATCCTAAACTCTTCTTTGAGGTTAAGACTCATCATCTCATATGCATAGGAATTTCAGTTAGGAGGGGAAGTATTTAGTTTGCTAAAATTCATATCAGATGCTTTCTGCTCTCCATCTGGGGAGGAGAAAAGTCTAGCTGAGCTGTATTACTTTGACCAGAGTGGACACTTTAACAATACAGATATCAAATACATATTGTAAGTGGCTTTTATGGCAATTAATCATCTGCACTCTTGGCTAATAATTCAGCAGGGTTTTCACTGTGCCTCAAGACTTTAAATATGATTTCAATCAGTTTCTTCTCTGCAAAAAAAAATAAACACACTGGCTTTGCTTTAATTGCACTGCTAAAGATGATTGAATCTGTAAAAGCTTCTTAAAGGAAGAGAGTATTAAGTTCCTTTTTAAAAGCAATACTTTAGTAACAGAAAACGGAGCTTCAAAGTCTTGGTGCTTTGAGAGTATCACCTGGAGTTTTATTTTATTCTGCTAACTGGAAATTGGTAAAACCTATGTGAAGTGAACATTAGCTCAGGATGAGAAATGGTAGGACTGTTTTTTTCCTGACCAAATGAATCATTTTGAAATCTTATGTCCTGGAAAAATTAAAACATGAGTCACGGTTTCTTGGCTGAAGATGCATCTCTTCAGATTGAATGTCTCAGCAATGCAGTTTGTAGGTGTCTCAGCTTCTGTTTGCTGCTTCCCTTCCCTAGGATTAGGTGTTCTGACTCTGTGGGCTCTGGGGCCAGATCATGCTGGTCTGCGGAGAAACGCACTGGCAGAACTTGCACGTGTGTCTCATTGAAATAGGAAAATTGGGCAAGAGCTGAGGAACCATGACTTTTCAGCCCTGCAGAGCTCTGGGCAGAGCTGCTCCATCTCTCGCCCAGATGGACAAGGCTGAGGCTGTCCCATGGCACTGGCATTGCCTCTACTCTGCTCACATGATTCCCATAGGCACTGTGCTGGCATTGCCTCTGACCCCCTGCAGCTATTTAGCTAATTTCTAATCAACTGTTTAACTCATACTAATTAGGCATTAGTATCAGCTTAGCAGCTTTAACTCCTGCCTATCTTTCCCAGTAAAACCCGAGGCTGAGCTGGAGAAGTCCTGAAGTGCACAGGCAGGCAGTCACCCTTCTGTGTCCACTTCCAATACCACGTTCCAAACCCTCCCTCTCTCCTAGATGGCCACAGGTATCTTGAGAGGTTTTATCCTTGTCTGTAATTAGAGCCCTTCCAGAGGTCTTTTCACTGTCTCTTGACCTGCTGGTGTCCCACACTCCATCTCTCCCTGTGCCACAGTCCTCTTTGCTTGGGCCTTTTGCTAGACTGGGTTCTGCTACACCTCTTCAGCTTCCCTGTTTCCCTTTTCCATGGTCCAGCATCTCTGTAGTGGGATTGGACCTCTTCTATTGCTTCAGTCTTTATCCTCTGCCTCTTCTACCAGATGAGACCTCCCTGTTTGAACGTCAGTGCTTTTCTACCACCTTTTCATCCCATTGCTTTTTCCCAGGAAGGTGTTTTCTAAGTTTTCTTGTTTTTTGCAGATAGAGGGGTTTTGGAGAGTGGCAGAAGTGTGATATGGTCATGTCTCCTTGTAAGCATGTGCTGCTGCCAGTGTTGAAGAGCCTGTGGATTTCTTGACCCTAACCTGGAGCGAAACATTCCCTAGAGATTAACCTGTACTCTTACCTAGTGACATGGCCTTGGTGTGCCTAATGAAAGGTGAATTAAAACAGGAAAGATATAGTCTAAGTGAAAAGGGTAGTTGGACATTCTCTATCTCCTCTTGCGGTTTGATCCCAAAGTGACACTGGTAGTTTTATTAAGAGGTTAGTGGTCACCTTCTTGTCCTTCCCTCAACAAGCTCTCACCTGGCTTTCCTCTCACAAGTCTCATAAAGGGAGACTGTTGTTCACAACTGAAGTCCAGCACCTCTTCTGCTCTGCCAGCTTGGGGTGAGCCTCCATGTTTTTTCCCTGTATTTGGTCTGCATGAAAAAGGAGCAGTTGGTGGCTGCTCTATGATGAACGTGAACCGTCCCTTTGAGACTCACTTCCCAGTGTTTCCCAAGCATCAGCTCTTTGGCTCTTGGGCCTCTCATGTGGAATTCTGCTGACATGGAGCACCACAGACTGTGAGAAGGTGTTCTCTGGACCTCCAGTTTCACTGTCTATCTGCTCCACATGTGCTGTTCTTAGTCTTTTTATCCAGATGCAGTTCAGTTGAACTCCAGTGCCTCCTTTGGCTGGCTGTGATACAGTCATATCATTGCTCTTTTCTTTACCTGAGCACCTATTCCCTTTGGCTTTTTGGCATCTCCTCTGCCATGGCATCCATAGCTTTGGGTACTAGGTGTGACTGCAATTTTCTGGTAATGGTATGAGCCAATCTTACATCAACATCTAATGTACAGCAGGAGGATGGAGGATGCCCCCTTAGTAGCAGTGCTGAGATTGGCTGATGCAACCTGCAAATGGGACACTTGGTCTCTCCTAGAAGCCCCCTGCCCAAGGAGCTCCAGCTCAACTCACCGAGCTCTCCTGCCCAGTCCAGGGCTTGCTCTCTGTTGATTCATGGCCTTAAATTGTGATAAAACTCAAAAGGACTATAAAATACTCTTTTGAGGGGCACGGTTTTGAATCCCTGACAAGTGGACTGAAAAACAGCAACAAACTTTTGGGTTGAAGTATATGATGAAGCTTAAAAAAAGAGAATTTTAGAGCATTCTATCATCTTCCGTGTTTTATTTTGTCCCATTTGTGAAATCATTGAATATAAAGAGAACATAGTGCAATTTTTCAAGTGCAGTTGACACAAAAAGTTGAATTCATTAGCCCCAGCCCAGACAGAATATTTTTTTCATCTAAAAATAATGATATAAAGAGGTTTCATTCAGTATATGAATACACAGTCTGCAGGATGTTTCTAAGAAGTACTGAATCTATAATAAGCACCTACTGCCTTTTTCACTGGAAGTGCATCCCACTGTTATGACCATTAATAATAATGATGTAGACATGGAAAGCACACAGGGAACATTTTAATTTTTCAGAATTGGTAAAATGCATTCTTCCTTTCTTTGAGTACTCTTTGGTTCTTATTAAAAAATCTTTTGGATTTCATAAAAAAACCCAAAATTTGTCTCACTGAAGCCCTTGGTAGAAGAATTTGGTTCAAAAGTGCCAGGTAACCCCTAATTTTGTAAAAGCAGGGAGTTTTATATATACCCAATGCATCTTAATAGCAGGAAGTATTCAGACTCTGTGGAGGAGAGCCACAGGCAGTGCCTGTTTGAGGGAAGGAAAGAAAAAAGATGACAAATTAAGCTAGAATTAATAATGCAAAGCTAAGCAATGACTCCATAACTCTGTCTGGACTCTGGCTGAGTGGCAACAGATGAGCACTGCACTGCTGTTTGACAGATACAGGCTACAGTTCCTTCACAGGCAGCTCCCCTGGAAGAGGGGATCAGACCTGCAAGGTGCTGAGTGCTTGGGCTCCAGTCCAAGGAAGCTTATTTTGAAGCTGCCAACCCAAAGGGACTTGGATGCTTTCAGGCTGAGCTCAAATGCTCTGCTGCAGTCTGGCCTAGAGTCGCGATTCTTTGCTAGATTGGGACTTTTGAGAACAGCCAGCTTTGTGCTGAGGGAATCAGAAAACAAATCATTTGGTAGTGATAAATTCACTCTTTGCTGGTGCTGTGTTTTAGCTGCCTGAGCTCCTCTTTGTGGGCAGCTCGTTGCTGCTGGTGGGAGTTGTGTTCGTATGAATCAGAGAGAAGGACAAACCCAAAAGGTTTAAACCATGAAGCAGTTCCAGGAATGACATACGTGCAGAGCACTCCGAGAAGCAGCAACTGAATGGTGTCTCAGAGAGCCACAATCCTGAAATCCTGCATTGTTGTTCGATTGAAAATATATTCTTATAATATGCTTTTTATTTTTCAATGTCTTATCAAACTTCCCTAAAGATGAATGCAATCTGTTGTGAAATTTTCCTCACATGGCTTGATTGCTTTGCAAAAAACCATATCCTACATATGGCCATCTGTCAAAACAGCAGTAACAAAATGAATTAATCTGAATTGCAGATGTGTTAATGAATCCCTTTGAAGGGCTTAAGCATTTAATTAAAAGTAAAGCAGTCCACGGTAGATAATTTTTAAAGCTTTTAAAATATTCTAAGTTATCCTTAACATTTGAATTTTATTTTCAGGCCCATCGCTTATTTGTTGGGATTTTCTCTCCCCAAATGTAATTAAAAGAATACAAACAAGTCTTGACCCCAGTTCAGTCATCAGCAACTACACAGAATTAAAAATATTTGCACAGTGATATCCAGCATTAGATACATTCTCCTTCAAATAGAAAAGAAAAACTGTCTCAGGAAATTCCATTTGCCTTCTGATCAGTCTGACTTTAAAGGTGATAGTTAAGAAAAGCCCCTTGGTAGGGTTACGTCCTTTTATTATATTAATGGGAGACAAACAGTTACAGTCATTCACTTGGGCAGACAGATGTGTCCCTGCCCTTAGAGAATGTCTTACTAAGATGCCTGTAGTTCTTGCAGCCCGTTGTGAAGCAGCAGGGGCTGCCAAGCTGTCACGGACCTGGGTCATGGGCAGACTTGGCTGGTGTTCATCTGGCACCAGCCTGGTCCGTGGCTCCCCTGTCTTCCCCAAACCTCAGTGGCACAACTTGGTCATCTTGTCAGGAACATGCTGAAGCCATCCTTTGAAAGCTTTTCATGCTACCAGAAAGGTTGATTAAAAGGAAAAGACAGAGAAACTGAAGTTCTCCTACAGTGGGATATCCCTGCAAATACAGAATCTATTGAGATCTATGCAGAAATCACAGGACTTTTCAACACTGAAATGCTCCATCAGCTTCAGTGAGACTATTCACTCTTAATTTCAGACTTGTCTTTATATATTTTGCTGAATCTGGGCCTTAAAACTTTTGTACTTTGCCAAGCTAAGAGTCATTGAAAGTGTTGCTGCCTCAGATGAGCTAGTGACTAATGCAAGCTCATACTGATTATTTTTTAATCCATCTTTTGTTGAAAATGATATTACACTGGGCAGATTTTTTAGGTATAACATGTAAGATAATTGTTAAAGTTTGTATAGGAAATTTTTATTTAAATGACCTCTAATTAAGCACTGTGTTCATTGTTCATCACCATGCATTTAGCATTTCTTTTAACATTAGATGATATTCACATTTGGAAAACTAACTGTCATGATGTTTTGTAGACAAGTATTTTTAAGGTGTTCTCAAAGATAGTTTTCCTCTGAGGAGAAAAATAAGAGTTATTTAAATATACCTGCATGCATGTGCATAAATGTATAAATTCATATATGCATTGTATATCCACATGTAAACAAGCACGTGCAAATAGATGTGAAACTATGTCATAATCCATAGTAGCTCTAACCTTAGCAATTTCTGCATGAAAGCCTAACATGATCCATACTGATCCATAATGAATTAAATGAACTAACAAGAAAGCAGACATATTAAGCTTTGCAAAATTGTAAAATTAATATTACAGCTATGTCACCTTCGCCTGCAACTGGACTGAGCAAGGGTGAGAGAGAGAGAGAAATCAATTCCACGAGTTTTGGAGAATGTAAGACTGTGCTGAGAATGTATCTGTGTCTTGTGGTGTCTTGTTCTGGTGTCATTGCTGCTCTGTGGTTGGGGGGGCTCTTCATCACCAAGGGAGTCTGGCAGGGCCGTGCACCAAGGTTAGCCATGAAGGTGCCATGTCCTCTCCTTGTCTGTGTACTGGCTAGTGGCCGATCCTGTAGGTGCCCGTGGGGGTTTTCATGTTCCCTTTTCATTCATGAGTTTGCCCATGTGGCTCGTTGACAGGGCTGTGCCACTCACCTCTCCTTCCATTCCTCCTCATGACCCGAGCAGAACTCTTCTTACCCCTTTTGAGCCACTCTCCAAACGGTCTGGTTTAATTCAGGTGAAGCTTCAGAACCACCAGGAAATTTTCCTTTTAAAGTATGGGAAGTCACCCCTCTGAAACGCTACCAAATAATGGAGAACTTCAAGTAAATCTCCAGCAGGGAAGAGCCTCAGGGAGTCCCACCTCAGCTGTGTGGAAGCACAGAGGGTGGCTGGGCTTTTCTGGGCTGTACTGGTGAATCACCCTACTGCAGAACTGGTGCAAAAAGCGGTAAAAGGAGTTTTGTTTGGTTTATACTCACACCGTGTAAACGTGTCTTGTCTGTATGTTTGTTGTATCTCTGTAGTCCTTCCAGCAGAGGGAGCATTACATGAATGAGTTTGCTTTTTTGGGGGTATAGACTAGTCTGGCTTGGTTGCAGTGGTTTGATACCACAGTGATACTTCGGCTGGCCATTGTCTCCAGCGGCCGTTAATTGGCTGCCTGGTACCTGAACCAGGGACATGAGGCATCATTCAGTGAAACTGGAGAGTTGACAAATGGGAAGGTGTTGAGAGATGCTGAGGAAACGGGCCCATGCTGAAGCTCTCTGCAGAAGCCATTTTGCCTCTGACAGGTCCAAGATGTGCTATGAATTGGCTGGGGCCTGGCTTTGCCAAAAATCCCTGCGGAGCGTTGGAGAGATGCTTCCCCATGTGTCTGCTCTTCACGCTCCCCTCCCTGAAGGCAGTGACAACCACCACTTCATTCATTGTCTAAATGCTGCTGTGGTGCCACACGTCTGTATGGTGGCAAGCAGCCTTCAGCCAGCTTGCCTGGACAGATGAGCCACACAGGCTTTCAGCATGTTCATCACTGGATTATTTTGTACTTGTATCTGGACAAAAATTAGCTTCTAGTCCAGTAAGATAATGTGCACAGGTCTTAAACTTAGTTTATAGGTGCAAGTCATCAAATTGTGAAAATACAACATATAAAACCAGTGGCTATTAACCAGTTTGAGTGAAAATGTCAAAGCAGACATCTGTGCCTTAGAACTCACCTGCTCTTTTAATTTTTAGCATTTCCCAATCTTAAATTGATAATATATTTTAAAGCTGTTGAGTCCCTAAAGGGACAGCATCAGAGCTAGCCAGGAGTCTCAACTCTGAAAAGCACCAGATGATTGGACCCAAACCTGTGCACAGCAGACACCAACAGCATAAAATGCAATTAGGGCCCAGTCTGACACTGCTGTCAATGGGAAGCAACCAGATTATCTGCTTGTAGATACAGAAAACTAGATTATCGTGTTACAACCCATAACTGAGTATACACATATTTAAATTACATTTTGGGACAATATGCTTTGATTTCTTTACTGAAGATCTAGGCAGATCTAGCTAACTTGTAAAGGGACAGCTTTTTTTTAATCATCAATTATAAATTTTGGGAGGGTATCATTACAAAATTAGTCAGTGTTACGGATACTATCCAATAAATATTAAATGAACCTGAAGTTGTCTTCTGATATCATTTAATGTTAGCAATTAGTTTTGCATTTTTAAAAAAGGGATGAAAGCAAGCATGAATAAGTTAATAGAAAACATTACTGTTCGACTGCACTTCAAGGTTAGTACTTCACTGTATGTAATATTCATTGTGAAAACCTTGCTGGTGTTCCATACTAATGAGTAGGTAAGGTTGAGGGGTTTTTATGTTTCCAGCTGGTTTTGTCTCTTCAGTGGTTTTCCAGAGCCCCTGCAAGAGCAAGTGAGAGTCAGGAGAGATGCTTTGCTTTTGGAGCAGCCCTTTTGTTTTACACCAACTGGGGATCTGGCCCGTAGATATTTAAGTCAGCGTCAGCAGACAGATAGCAAACTATGCTTGTGAAAGTTAATTAAACAGTAGAAGTCATAACAAGTGGCTCTTTTGTCTCCCATGAAAGAGGAGGCAGCTGTATTGTTTCTGGCAGAGTGATTCTCTGTTGTACACATTTATTGATGACTTGGAAGAGGCTGTTGCACTGGGTAATGTTGCTAATATTGATGGAAGAAAATATTATAGTGATAAACAAAAGGCAAGTCACAGTTCAACACCTAGAAAGTAGAAACCACTCTATAGTGTTAGCAGATATTTAAATAATAGTTCTTTAATATTTAGACCTATACATGTTCTTATTAATGTGTAAAAATTAAAGACTGCCTCATCTGAAGAGAAAATTATGCAGCAGATCCCTCTACATGTACATCAGAGTAGACTTGATTTGGGTATAAAGGTTTGGGATTTTGGTTAAAAACTAAAGTTTTCCTTCTTTCCCTTCAGATCCAGATTACCAAGAGCAGGATATCTTTCTATGGAGAAAGGAAACCGGTTTTGGATTTAGGATTCTAGGTGGAAATGAGCCTGGAGAACCTGTGAGTACTTGTGTCATCTTCCAGAATCATGGCTGTAGCATGTGGAGATGTGCAGAACTGTGCTGTGGCATCTCTATTAAAATTACTAGTAGGTTATAGAGTTACATCCCACATCTCCTCTCCACCTTCCCTCTAAAGAACTCACCAATGCTCCTGCAGTTAAAATGGGATTGGTTTCCTCTGCTATTTCCTGTTTTTGTGATAGCCCAAATGAAAACATACAGGTTTGAAATTGCCTGGATGATGAGGAAAGGATGTCCTGGTCAGGTTTGCAAGTATTTTGATTTTCTATTTGCTCAGTTCTGTCCTTGAATTTTCTTAACTTGTTAACCATAAATCCAGTACCTGTGGATGGTGTCAGGCTAAAAACACATGGTTTTAATGTGCTGCACAGGTCAAAGCTCCATAGTGGCAGCATAAATTTCCACATATTTCCCTGCCAAAATTATTGTGCTCATTTATGGAACAAGAGGTCATGAATTCCTCTCACGTTGGGGTAACTCTGCAGAGCTCCCTGAAGATAAACTAAGACTGGAGTTGGTGGGTAGTTGAGTGGTGTGGAGCTTGTAAACCCTAGAGGCAACTGAAAGGATAACTCAATCTCAGCCTCCATGACAGGCCCCTCAGTGCCTTTAGCCATCTTCCCTCTAGTCAGTGTCTGGCTGAACCCATTTCCTAAGGAAACCCATCACCTAAAGAAACAAGATGTCAGTGTATCCCTGTTTCACACTGTGCCTGTATTCACATGGAGCTGCTTTCGCAGGAGCAACTTTCCTGACCAGCAGACTAGATTGGGTCTAGTTGGAAGCCCCTCACTTCCAGCTGGCTGTGGAGCAGGTTCTCATTTATCACTTGTTGTTTTTTTTTCCCCCTTGCTTCCCTTCTTTCCTCTCTCCCCTTCGTGCCAATTGCTCAGATTTACATCGGTCACATTGTCCCGCTGGGCGCTGCGGACGCCGACGGCCGCCTGAGGTCGGGCGATGAGCTGATCTGCGTGGATGGGACACCCGTGGTCGGGAAATCACACCAGCTTGTCGTCCAGCTTATGCAACAGGCAGCCAAACAAGGTCATGTCAATCTGACCGTCAGGCGCAAAGTGGTTTACACAGGTAGGCTGCACTGTCACTCTGCAGGGGTGGGTTTTCTTGCCTGACTCCCATCTGTTCAGCAAACCGTTTAAGGAACAAAAGCTTCTCCTTGTAATACTTGGCAAGACTCGGGGGATATGGTGCTACTCTTATTATTTTGGCTATTTTTAGTCTTGTCTTGTACTTGATCAAGTAGATTTCAGATATTTTGCTTCCAGTCAAGAAGCTCTCAATCTCAATTGGCTTCTCCAGGCTTCCTGAAGGTTTCTGGTAAACAGGAGGACTGTTTAGTTCCAACATAGTGTTTTTAGGTGGACTCATGCAGCAGCAGGCACTGTGCCCGACTGCTTGTGTCTTCTCTTTTCTGCCCAAAACAACTACCCACTGCTCCCTAACTACCCACCCTTAAGCTGGGAGTGAGAGAAAAGATGCTGAAGGGTCCACAGGAGGGGAGGCAAAGGCAGAGAGTGAGTGAGGACATTAGGGTGTGCTGGCCAATGTCCCAGGCACAGGAGAAGCTTCAGCTGAGGTGGTGCCATGCAGTCAACTAACTGCAGGATGCAAAACTGTGAGCATCATTGGTTCTGGTTCTAGCAGAAGTAACACTGCCTGGTGGAACCCAGATTAGTGACACCAAAATGTCCTGATAGAAAAGAATTTGAAGCCACGAGATTGAACTTTCTAAATGGCATGTGACCTTCTGCATAATAACGGGGAGTAGCACTGAGGTGCTGCCTCTTCTTGTGAGTCCCTTTAGGGAGCTCAAGGGTGAGATTCAGTTTAACTCACTTGTTCGAAAGAAAGGACATATACAGGTTTTCAAGTTTAGGTATCAGCAGGATGTTCTGGTATCTTAAAGAGCACCAGATAACATTCAGGTTGAAAATTAGGCTCACAGTAGCAGCTAAGACTAAAACAGTACCTCTGAAATAGCTCTGTATTCTTATCCTCCTGCACAATATTAAATAAATGTTCATTTCTCATTTCTTTCCTTCTTCTTGTTGTGGAATAAATGCTGGGTTATGTCTTTCCTCTAATAGCCTCTCTCTCCTTCCTTACAAAGAGCTGCTGAAGTGAGAGAAGCTTTAGGAGATGAGCTTTGGGAGGAAGGGGAAGGACTGCTGAATTTTGGTTATTTTTGTGTGTAGATTTTCTGTCCAATTTTACAGCCTCCAGGCTGGAAATTACCATAAAAGTTTTAGATTCATGAGATCTTGATAAAAACCCTTGGTATTTCACTCAGGGGCTTGTTACTTCAAACCAAGCTATTTCTGAGTCATTTCAAATGTGGACACTTACTCTAGGATAAATTATTCAGGATCCTTTCTTTCACCTTATATTTGCAGGCTTTTAAATTCCAGCATAACTTGGTAGAGAAGCCTCTTCCTGAATGTTGGTCCCTTATTCTTCCTCTCACCTATATGCCTGTAGAAAGAGATTGTTGACCTAAAAGGGTCTTGAGATTTATATAAGGGAAAGTTTATACTCGTGTATTTTTAATATGTAGAATACTCTATATTTAGTGCTTACTTTGAGTATATAAAAGCAGACAGATACTGCTTTCCAAGAATATTTTGAAGTTCTTTCTCTTTGCATCATGGGTTTAGGTTTTGTTTGGCATCCATTTTCTTGTTGCTTTTAAGATTTTCAACTTTATTTTGATTCACCAAATTGGACAAGTGACTTGATTAGTGGAGGCAGCCACTCAGTAGAGACAAGCGCAATATGCTGCTCTTAGCTGCTCAAATGGATTGTGGAGAACTGGCTGAGTAACCAGAAATGGAAGCTCTTGTGGACCACAAGCTTTAACCTGAGGTTGACTCAGGTGAAGAAAAACACTGTGCTGGGATGTAGGCAGGGGGGAACTCTTCTGATTTCCCAGCAGATGATGGCTTAGCTGCAATATGGTCCTGCACTTCAAGAAAAACATGTTTGAGTTGGAGGGAGCCCAACTGGAGGGAGTCCAGAGGACCAGTGAGAATAAGGACAGCTCTAGAAAACATGGTCTGCAAGGAAATACTGAACAAATTTGGATTGTTTAGCCCAAAGCAGAGAAGGGGGAGGAGGTGTTAAGCTCCCCAAGACTATAAGAGGCTGCTGCAAAGAAGAAAGGAATAATATGTTCTCCATATGCCTGCTAGATAGAGCTAGAAATAATAGCCTTATGTTGCAGGAGGGAAGATTTAAGTTAGATATTGCAACCAATAGATTGCCTGAGGAGATATTTAACAGCAGATTAGGCAAACATCTGTCAGGACTGACAGTAAGTGTGGCTGGCCCTGACTCAAGCAAAGTGTGGACAAAGCAATTTTTTTTTGAGATGCCTTCAAGCCTTGTGGTAGCTGATCAGATTTTAAACTGACATGACTTCCAACTTCAGTTGCTGTTAAACACTTTTTTAATAGTAATATTAATGGTAATAATGTTTAATGTTTTCCCTCCTGACTGTGCCAGCCTGTACAGATGATAGCTGCTGGTTCTTCCATCCAGAAATCTTGATTCACAAGTTTTTTTTGCTTTAATACGGGTGGCTATTATTACTTAAGATCACATTAATCAAAGGCAATTAGTGCTACCCAACTGATAGCATTGTGTTAAAAAATACAGAGATGTTGAGTGGTGGGTGTTTGATATTGCTCTCTCCTCACAGCTTGTGCACATGTACACAGTTGCGTGTATATAGCTGAAGTGGTGATTAGACATCTAGAGCAGTCACCTCTGAAATAATGTAATCCCGGTTTAAAAGGCCAGAGCATCCAAGCACTCAGCACCGTGCTGGGTCAACCCTACTGCTGCCCTAGTTGGTCAGCAAAAGGCTTTGGCTGCATGATGAGACCCTAGAGAGGATGAGCTTGTCTGATCAGTACCATCACTAAACAGAGCTATTGATGGTGACATCCAAAAGGAGAGAGAGCTTTTGGTCACTCTGGCCATCACTTATAGATTAGAACTTTGCCTGGTTAGTTTCCCTTTTTCTCAGCGGATGGCACTTGTCAATTACCCGATGACACAGCTTGCTCAGCCAGTCTTCTTCTGACTCCCCAGTTCCCAAGGCAGAGAACGAAGTCCCGTCCCCAGCCTCTTCCCACCACAGCAGCAACCAGCCAGCCTCGCTGACGGAGGAGAAGCGGACCCCTCAGGGCAGCCAGAACTCCCTCAACACGGTCAGCTCGGGCAGCGGCAGCACCAGCGGCATCGGCAGCGGCGGCGGCGGGGGCAGCGGGGTGGTCAGCGCGGTGCTCCAGCCCTACGACGTGGAGATTCGCCGCGGGGAGAACGAAGGGTTCGGCTTCGTCATCGTCTCCTCGGTCAGCAGGCCGGAGGCAGGGACGACCTTTGGTGAGTCCTGGGCTTCTTCCAACCTGCCTGGAGGGGAGATGGAGGTTTGAGGGCTGCCGTGCAAGGAGGCGAGTGGGGATCTGTTGAGTTAAGAGTAGTTAGCGTGCCCTGCTTGATGTCATTGATAGCTTAACAGGGTGAGCACCGCCTGATAGGTGCTTGCCTCCTGGGTTCTGTTCTGCACTGAGTTAAGAAAAGCAACAGGAGAAATTCCAACCTGAAGAGCAAAATGCCACCAGTGGCAAGTCCAAATGCTCCTTGAAGCTCCGTCTCTCCCTGCTAGCTGGATGCCTTGCTGGGGTTTGCTCTCAGAAGAGCAGCCGGGGATCCATCCCCCAGTGATGCTGTTTGCTGATGCAGAAAAGAAGCAGGTGGAATGAAAGATGTCTCCTGATGATGGGACTGAGCCAGTTGATTTAAAGCAGTAATGCTTAAACTGATTAATTTCTCCTTGGAAATCAGGGTTATTCCAATCCTCATTATGGAGTGAACATGGGGTAGCTGGAAAGTTTTAATCAATAGCACTTACATGGTGAGACATGAAATGGAGAGAAAACTGTTAAAAAAGCAGGATTTTTTTTTATCCATTCTACCTCTTCCCAAATCCATTTCTTCAGAGAAGGGCAAACTGAAGTTCATGTAGTGTCACGCTTAATATCCTGTCGTAATAGAAGTGATCCCAGGTTCTTTCTGAAGACAGCCCTTTCTGCTAGGCAGACACCCATTTCCAGGTGCTGCTGCAAAAGAGGTGTGCAGAATTCTGCTGGTTCTGCACGTATGCACAGTACAGCCTTCTCTAGAGCCAAATGTCATTGCAAGGGGGAAAGTGTTCAGAGAGGCTATTTTCTTCACTTTCCATCTTCTCCAGAAGGGACAGAGGTAGCACCCACTTACACTTTGTAGGGGAAAAAGGTGTTCCTTCCCTGTTAGTCTGTGGCATGCAATAGAGAAGGAGGGGGAAAGGAAGGACAGAACAAGTACCCCGGCCATCTTCACACTACCTCTCAGAGCAGGTAGTGGTTTGCAGACAAAAATACATTGCAGGCTTCCTGTCCAGCTCAAATATTCCTAGAGCACCCAGGTGTATGTAACAAGAAGTGGCCTTTCCCCCTTTTTTCCCAGCCTTTTTTCTCTGGTATTTCCTGCCATTGCCCATTGGCAATGCCATTGCTCATAAGTCAAGGTAGCATCATCTCCTTTACTGGTATTGATGTAGAAAAGGCCATTTCTAACACTGTTCTGGGCAGTCATGGCAGCAGAGATTTTAAGGGGGAAATATCTAGTACAGAGGCAGTGCATTGAGTTCTGTCAGTTCTCAGCTGCTAGGCTACCTCACACTGTCCTCGTCGCTGGAAGCTGCTCTTCCAGAATAGGTATTTTGGTGCCAGAACAGAATGGTGTAATGTAATCTAGATTCAGCTGACCTCTGTCTAAACTGGAGAGAGAGCTTTTATCTTCTGAAAGTATTTGCAAAAATGTGTGTAAAATAACTTTTACTGTATGAAGACTCTGCTCTAACTCTTTTCTGCAGAGAAGCCTTGACCTGAGGTTGTCAAGAGTTGTGTTTGCTTTAGCCCAAGATACTCACTAACTGGAAGTTTTCTGTGCAGGGGCTCCTCATGGAGATCTGTTGATCTGTGACTGTTTCTCCTTTAATTTTTTTTCAAGTGTATTCAGCCTTTTCCTATTACTCTGCATGAGATGTGTTCCCTGTGCTGCGCGGTGCTTGCTTTGGACCCCCTTTGTAGGTTTTTTCTTTCATGGGTAGCATTTAGAGATGGGCCAAACTGGTACCTAAACCCTTGGTCGCTTTGGTGTGGGCTCTGCCATCTGTGTCCAGTGCATCGGGTAGAGTAGGAGCTCATTTCACATACCCTCAAAACAGCCTTTGAGCTGGGTCTATGTGTTTCTAGAAAGAGAACCTTTCTAACATCACAATAAAATAAAAGAAGGAAAAAAAAAAGTCATCCACCATTTGCAACTAATATTAACACTTTCTCCCAGTTTTTACCACATATTTCCAGCCTTGCTCTCTCACATCACTTTCTTTTTCATAGCCTTTTCTTCTTTATGGTCTTTCTAGTGTTGTCATGTGTGCAGCAGTGCATATCTCTAAAACTACTAATCAAATAAAGACTACAGCACAGATGGGAAAGTGTATCTTGAGGGTGAATGTATTGTGGATGCAAAATATGAGATGACCTCTCTGTATTTATACTTTACGGTGTTAACCACATCCTATGTGCCCGGGGGCCTCTTGCCCATGTAAGGAAGCCATGCAAAAGCCAGTGGATTTATCTGAGTGATATTGTGTATTCCTTGTGTCCCAATGATGCATTTTATGGATAACCCCGTGTTTTGGGGCCAAACAGTTGCATGGGACAGGAGGAGAGTTTTGTCTCCATAATACATGCATCCTAAAGTGCTCTTGCTCTGTCTGTCAGGACATCTCAGTGGTTTTCTGTGGTTTTAGAGGTATTTAAATAAGAAGGTCCTTATTCCTGCCCTGCTCCCCTCCAAATGCCATCTAAGATCATAAACGGGGAAGGGTTAACAGAGGCTAAGATGGACGCCTGCACCAAACAGGTTACTTTTGTCAGTCTTGGCCCATCTGTAGTGGTCCTTTACCTTCCCTGGTAGCACCTTTATTCACAATGGAAGAAAACCATGTCATGTTGCTTCCCCATGCAGCACTGATAGATTGGGTCTTTGTGGTAGAAAGGGAGTCACCCTCCCTCCTAGGCCTAGAACAATTTTATCTTTCTAAATGGAGAAAGAACAAAACATTGGCAGAAGCTTGGACAGCAGTTGACTCGGAGAAATACTAGAGATGCTGACACCATTGTAATCATGGAGGTGGCAGGTTCTGTTTTCTACAAGCAGTTTCAATTTTCTTTTTGGTTTAAAAACAAAATCAGGCTTTGGGTTGTGATGGGGCTGCTCTGTGCAGTTGCAGTCTCTAAAAATCTCACCATTTATTCACCAAAATCAAGGGGGGGGGGGGGGTTAAATTCTGAATGGTTAACAAAACCCCTTTTGGTAACAGAAGGGAAGGT